CCTTGGGTAAACTGAGAAGAATGGAATCAAACTCTGCTCAAGCATTGCATTCTGCTGCCCTATGGTTTCTAATACTTCTCAGAGCATCCCAAACCACATTTCCAAATTATTAGGCACAGAGATTCAAAAAATCACCACTGTGTGTGTGGGAGGATTTTCTGTTCCTTAATTGTTATGTAGATTGTGCTACTTGGCAGCAAGAGCAGAAGGTATTTCCCACACAGTGCAGCACAGCCTGGAAGTCCCCGAGGTATCTCTGAGCAGGCAGAGACAGCTGGAGAGCTCAGTGAAGTGCTGTGTGGGTGGGTACAGGCAGATCTCCCAGCCAGCATGGCACTGTGCCTGGCTTGGGTGGCTCTGTCAGCATTTCTTATCTGCAGTGTTGGTCTGGTGATCTTGGCATAACATATATGGGATAGACTTGTCCTCACTGCATGCAACCAGGACTCCAGTGAATTTACTGATGGGACCCTCTGTGCATCTCTTTCATCCCTGTGCCATGGCATGAGAGCCAGGCACAGCCTGATCCCACACTACCAGTGTTAGGCTTTATTCAGAAACAGATGCTAGTGCAGGGAAATAGATGGCAAAATGCTCACTAGCTTCCACCACAGTGAGGCCAGTTTCCCTTGGATTCTGAACTGTTTAGACAATCACCAACGGATTCCAGAGTAATTAGGCAATGCTTTTTTTCTTTCAAACTTGGAGACAACATCTAAATTGCTGTATGTTGGACAGCAGAGAGCATGAATAAACCAGGCAGGTTATAGGATGAGGGGAAGAGACAAGAAATGAAGGATCACACCAAACAGAACAGTCACAATGAGACAAAGCTGTGAATGTGGGGAGACAACACTAATTGTAAGAACTGAATTGACATTAATTTAGTTCTTTATGGTGCTCAGAATGATTTTTTAAAATGATCTCTTTTTTTTAGAACCCAACTCCAGGATTAGTTCCATTTTTACTTCCTTTGGCCTATTCTGAAACAAGTATGGAATATCATCTTTGTCCTCATCCAAAATACACCTTTACCAAGGAATGTCCCAAAGGATCCAGTATTCCAGTCACACAAAAGAAATTTCTACATCACAAGGTATGGCCTTCTGGGTTGATTGTATGGCTTGGGTATGTTCTTGCTGAGAACTTGCTCTATGGAATCAAAAGAGGAAGATGAAGTCATCCTAGATAGAAGATGCTTTCAAATATAACTTATGCATCCACCTAAATAGTATATGGGTCAAAATAATTAGTCCTTGTCGGGCTTTATCAATGTCTCTTATTTATCCCTGAATGTCTCTTTCCATCTTTTCACTGTCTGTTGCATTTTCACAACTTCACAATGGTGGAAGCATCTTTGAAATACTCAACTCCCCAGATTCAATTCTCAGCCAAGAAATCAGGTGCTCTGTCCTGCAAGCCTCTCTCTCCACTGCATTATGTATTAGAGGTCTGATTGCTGTAGCACTTGTCATTTCAGGAAGTAATTTGTGGAGTAATGGAATGGAGAAACTTCTCACCACTGGTGTATTCCTCTTTTCCTAATGTTCCCACATTGATAAATTCAGCACCTAGGTAAGAAAGAATTTGAATATACAGTGCCTATACCCTGCACTAGTTTCTGCTGTCTCTAACCATATTGACCACTGTAACTAGTCCCACAGATGAAAGTGGGCCTACAGGTGGAATTAACTTCTGCTCAGAAATCTAAAACCAACCGGGAATGCCCCTACTGAACTCCTTGAAGGGTGGGTTAAGAACAATATCATTAGAGGAAATGCCTAACCAAGGAAAGAGAGTTCCAGTCTGGGCTTTCAATAACATGTCTCCTGAATGCTTGTTGGTTCAGTCCTGGAATACCCCAGGAGGTACAAACTCTGTCTGCCCTGCAGGAGTATGAACAGTAAAACCTTTAACATATGGATACTTGCACCCAGTGGTAGCCAACATCTCTCATTCCCTTGTATCCCTGCAGTTTCTGGTGTCCTCAGATTTTCCAGGAGTATTTCAAAGTACATCATCTTTATTGTAACTGCAACTACTGTTTAGTGCAGAGTAGCTGCACTAATATCATTAGTATTAATACCTTAAACTAATACCATTTCCATCACAGAGATCCTTACAGTTTAGATATGCTTCCAAGAGATGTACCACCAATGCTGCATGACTTACCTGAGAGAGACAAGGAGAACATCATTGACAAGTAAGTTTTTCCTCTCTTCTGTTCATGGTGTGATTGACTGTGTCTTAACCATTTGTATGGTTGTGTCTAAACCCATCCAGAGAGATCCTCAAAGGCAAAAGCACAAAGTCCCTCTTGCATAAAACATACTTTTGGTTTTGTTGGCTAAAAAATACTTATAAAAGTATAAAAGCCAATTGGTTGTCATCTTACTAATTTTTAGTGAAACAGATGAAGCTGAGTTCACAATGATTCCTACTCCAGAGATGATAAGAGCTGAATTTCCACAGATTGAGCAGGCACTCTCAGAAGAAGGCAAAGAGAAATCAGCAGTAAAAGGAAGGTAGGTATCATTTAAAATTAGGAGAGAGGAATGGGAAGGAATTTGAAGTCAAGCATCCCCTTCAGAGTGGCATAGAAAGTCATACTGGAATGCTCTAGGGACTCCATCACAAGTGGGATGCAGATCTGGTACTTTGAGCAAATTTGCACTGCAAAATCTCCGGATTTTACTTCAGAAAACAGCTGTGAATGATACATTGGCCTGGATGTCTCTGACTTTGGTTATATCGGTTTGAGCTAACACTTGAGGCAGTTTTCTTGCCTTCTCAGAGATATTCAACATCCTTGGACCTGTGACTTTTACTTTTCAGTGGCCCTTATGGTTAGATGTTTATTAACGTTGGCAGAGGAACGAGCTCTTAGAATTTCCCCCTGGCATGGTGCTTTTTTCTCAGGCTTTTCCTAGGAGTAGATCATATTTGCTCTGCTGTCCAAGCTTCACACTGCACCCACACACATTGCAGCAGGCAGTTTTAGATGATTTCATAAAAAAATGAAAATACTTACTATATTATAACAACTCTGAGTATTGATATTTACTTTCAATATTTTACTTTGAAAGCTTCTCTAAAGAGGGAAACAAAAATTTCTTAGGAAACAATGAAGTCCCAATCCTTTTTGTTGTCAGTGGAAGGTTCTTTGTTGTTATGGATGGTTTTATACTAGATGACACTAGTTTCAGCATTTTATCCTCAAGGCAAATCAGTTTTTCATGTGGCTGCTCTTGTTCTGCAATTACAGCATATGTTCCTTCATGGATAAAATGCGAAACTCAGAGTCAGATGGTTAACTTTCCTAACTGGCCAAGCCAAGAGTGACTGTTCTTTCCACAGTTTCACTACTGTGAAATTACTCCAGATCTCCATAAGTAATAGAATACTCTCTGTGTTCATTATAAAAAAAAAGAAATTCTGTGTGACTGTTTCTTTCTTTGGATTTTGTCAATAATCCTGATAGTTTCCCTTGTTATTATAATTACAAATGATGTTTTAAATTTCTTGCAGAGACCTGAGCAACAGACCAGATGGACATTTTCAACACCAAAATAATGAGCTTGGAGAGAAGATTCAGAAACATATAGAGACAATGAAGCAGAAAGCACTTTATAAAGCCCTTATTCTGGGATAAGAGTAATTGTACAAAGTTCATGGCTGGTCACTGTGTCCTGTTCATGCATGAGGCTTTCTATGTCCCAGCTATATTCACTTTTGTTCAGTGAGATCTGCAACTTCTTATGCAAAGAGAAGAGAACCACCAGTATTGCCACCACTGTCAAGGCCTCTCACTGTGCCCCTTATCCCAAACACAGTAATTATTCCAGTGAGAAACCTCAGCCTTGTACCTGCTCATTTTGTTCTGGTGTGAAGGATCAAAAAACCTCAGCACTACCATGTAAATAGTTTACTAATTAATGTACAGCCCACTGTTTCCAAATAAAATGTTAAAAGACCTCATGACCAAATTCTTCTGATTTTGGGGTTTTTTTTTTTCAGTTATCTCTTGTCCTTGAATTTTTGCCGATAAATTGCTAAATCTCAGAATTGACCGTGAACTGTACACTTGAGACTTTTAGTGGAAGGGAAGACTTGAACACCATTACTGTCTACAGAGACAACATCCAAACAAGCCTCATTAGCTGTTCAGGGTTAGTTCAATGCACAGCTCTTGCCAAAAGGGTGCACAGATTGAGTGAATGAAGTGCACACCCTGGTGAGAAACCTGTTATGCTTGGGGTGTATTCCCTAGGAAAGGAGATACCTCATCATATCACCTTGCAGCTGAGATGTCTCCTGCTTTCTTGCAAGCTGGACATCAGATGAGATGGGTTTATTCATAGTGAATTGATTGCTCACTTTAAAGAGTGGTCCAGGCTATTTGTGCTGAAAAGCACATATCTTCTATACTAAAAGGCATGGAAATTGCAGCAATACACACTACATTCCTAGGAGCCATATTTCTTTCCAGGCATACATAAAACCCCTAAGAAAATGAGTTTATTTCAGAGAGTGATTGGTGTAGACAAGCTGTAAAAAGCCAGGGGAGATAAAAAATGGGAAAGTAGGGTGGAAAAGCTGCAGAATAGCCTGTATTATACTAGCTCCATACTATCTCTACTTGCTTCAAAGAAATAAAAAGCTGTTAAGTTTCTGCTAACTGTCTAGTTGGCAAGGGATTGTTCAGAATGCAGGTCTGGATATCTGCAGATTACTCTGACTACAAACAACTGCTTGAATATGTACACATTCCTTTTTTCCTTCTGCAAGTTCTGAGGAAAGCAGTTGACCTTTGTAGAGATGAGCTAAGAGCTGAGCATGTTTCTTAACATGACCCTGACAAAAACATTCTCACAGTTGACCGTGAAAGCATTTGCAGTTCGTAATTCACAGTTTAGGTAGATCAAGCATAGGTCATTCTTGGGAACTGTTGTCTATCAGCTAAATGTCTAGTCTAGTCAAGATGGAATAAGTGTTGGTGATTTACCAAAGCTGATCTCTTTTTCTTACAGCAGTATCATCTTTCCTCCCTTCTCCAGAACAGTTTCCTGGTCATCCCAATGGAAATTAATCATGCTTTTCCATTCTCCAGTGGTAGGCACCATCCTTCAAAGAAATGAACGATCTTTCTGTTGAAGTGATCCTCCTTGCTGATTTTTTAAGGCTTTTATGGGCCAGGTTTCAGTGTGCAGAGAAGGTAAGAAAAAACTAACACCTTGCACTAAAATGTTCCTAAAATTCAGAGGGACTGTTGGTAGTGCACAGACCTCTGTGCATAATGTCCCTCCAGGATATCTCACAATAAAAGTCTGTTCTTCTTAAGATGATAAGATACCAGAGGCATAATAAGATGCATCTAAGACCATGAGATTTGGCTAAATAATTGGAAGTCTTAGGTTTTCATGAGACCTCTTAAGTGTTCTCCTGTTTGACTACTGAACACTTTCAGAAATGGGACACAAACCATAAGAATTACAACCTGCAGTGGGTGGGTTTTCACACTTCTACACCTGCCCAGTGTTTGATGAAAAAAGACTGAGTATTACAGAAAATAAATCTGAAGAAGAATGAGTGATGTAATGGAAAATGTGCCTCTGGAAACATTACCCAGTGGACTGGAATATTTGTGTAGTTATTTTTATCTGGATTATAATTTATAATGTGCTGAACCAGGGCGTAAATTTTGGAGGGCATTGTTATGTATAAAATACATCCATAGAGTTTTCTCTAACACTGCTAATACTTGTTAACAAACACTCAGATCTTTATGGGGCCTTTTTTAAGGATCAGCTATCAGGATTCAATAGCAATTGTGTGAAATGTCAACATTCAACATCAGTGCTATTTAAAAGAGCATTAGCACAAACTTCAGCCTTCAGGCTATGTTTTCATAAACCGTGGAAAACAGCTTACTATGACATCTTTTAAAGCACTTTCTTATGCCTCTACTAAAGATGCAAATTATTTTCTTTCGAATGTGCAGATTGAATTCACATACAGTTTGCAAAATAAGACCAATTAATATATATATGTAGCCAAATTTCCATACATTCAATGTTAACTTGTGGGTTGCCTTATCTGGGGAATCAAGGCTGCATTCTTACTGATGGAAGTGGGAAAGTAGGAATGTGTAAATGCAGAATGTGGCAAGTTTATTTCCATTCACTGCAAGTAAAATTGCTGCTGGTTCCCTTGTTTGGAAAGGATTAATTGGCTAAATGACAATGCCACTGTTTTACCAATTAAGATATATTCATCTTACCCGAAAAAGCTTGTCTTATTAGCAAGGTTAATAAACACTGTCCTATTAGCACTGTCCTATTAGCAAGGTTAATGAACAGACTCACTCCTTAGCTTTTCTCCCTCTCTCTCATAAATGAGCATTAACCTCCAAATCAAATAAAAGGTGCATTGTAAAAATTAAGAAAATGTTAATGTGGAAATGATCCACAAGCTTAAGTGCTCTGTAACTGGGTTATTAATCTCACTTACTGTTTCATGATGAGAGAAACCCCATCAAGGTCTTTAAAATGTAAATTGATTATGTTTTATAAGAAGACTGGGAGAAACACACACAGCAGTGTGTCTGATGTAAAGAAATGGGTGAAACAATAATTTCAGCTCCTAAGAATAGTTTCATGAACTCCAGACTAAAGAAACCTCATTACCTTTGGATTGGTAATGCAAGATTCAGTTATTCCAAGCCCCAGTTGAAGGGGGTTTTGTGCTCTGGGCCTTTATTTCATCTTTCTCCTGTACAGGTTTTCTTCTGTCTGCTCACATTGCATCCTTTGCCCTATGGAAACACCATGAATGCTTCTCTCCAGCTGTTTAACCACTTAAACAGAGGATTTTAGCTCATGCTGAGACCTCTCCTGCTCTTTCAGTTTAGTTGGAAATACCAGCAGGTTTGGGATTTATCAGGTGATATATATGCAAATAGTGTGATTTCCTTAGAAAGCTGGATAAAGGCAGAGAATAAGGACTTCTCTGTGCACTAGTGTAGGTAAATCTCTTTGTAAAGGTAGTTGTGAAGTGCTGCTCTGCAATCTCTAAGTGCATAATTCCTATGATTCCAGTAGAGACACCCAACAGCTGAAGTGCTGAGAGCTTCTATGACCTCTGAAAACCACAGCTGTCACTGATATACCTAGGCTAGATATTATTTTAGGGCAGACATGATTTATAAATTGTTTCCTCCTCTGTTTTCTGCTTCTCCTGCTGTCTCTCTGTGCACTGAATACCAGAACTGTTTGCTTGGAATAAGTCCTCTTCTTCAAGCAGTTGTACATTGATAACACAGCCTCCTCAAAATACTTGGGGGTTTATTGTGGGGTTTTGTTTTCCTTTTTTCCTGAAATGTAAAAAGCCTTCAGAGAGGAATTGTAAGCAGTGAGCAGTGTCTACAGGTCTCGTGGCACAGAATCAGCTCTTCCAGCCTGAGCAACCTCTTTGTCCTCCTCCAGCTCTGTCTGCTGCCAAAGGTTGGTCAGTGGTAGCTGCTTTGGTACAGGGCCTGGAGAGCCATCAGGAGTACAGTGCTACTGTCACAGTTCTTCTCTGGGCCTTGTGCTTTGGGGTATTGTCATTAGCAGAGTCTCGGCACGTGCTCAGAAAACACCTCCTGTCATTCCCAGGAATGCAGTGCCACTCACACTGCTCCCACAGACTGAAGGAATTGGTCAAAGCCGTCTAGGGATTCTGCATTTTTATGGACCTAGCAAGTAACATGTCATTTCTACAAACCTGGAGTTTGTCAGAAGTGTCCCATAAATACTGCTGTACTGAGCCATCCTTCCTTTGGCTGTGTCCCTCTGCGTCCTCCAAGAAAGCTGAATTCATCAAAACCAAAGTCAGTGCAATATCATGGCAATAACTTCAACCACAAAGAGAAAGATCCAGCAATCAGAGGATATGGCCAAAAAAAGCCAACACATCTGACAGGGCTATCTCGTGCCACTTAACACCTGCAGAAGGTAATTGGTCGTGAGGCAACTCCCAGATTATGTCTGTATAACCACAGCAGGGACTTGAAAATTAAATCAAGCAGCTCCTGAAAAACTCCAGGTGATTTCAGAACACCTGCAGGAAGTATTTTTCCAAAGCACTGGTACATCAGAAAACATCTTCTGATGAGCTGCTCACTTGTGCCAGGCACCGTTTAGTTCCAGCACATTCATGACTTACCATCCAAAGGTTAAACTGTGCTTAAGTGAATGAGGGCTCTCCAAGATGAGGAGCAATAGCATGTCCTTCTGCCTTTCAAGAAATAAACTTTCCAGTCCAGGACCCAACTCTATTGTTAGCTGAGCACATTTTTAAATTGTAACAGTTTTTTCCTGATGTTTCTAACTGCTTCAGTCAGTTTCTATGAGTTTTTAATTGCACAAGAGACTGAGTTAACAGTGCATTATTTTTAATCAGTTCATTTTTTTCTGGCTTCAGAGTTCTGAACCAAATTATCACCATCACCAACTAATTACTGGTTTATAATAATTTCACAGTGTGGAGTCTCCAGTAATCCAATATGCATTGCCTACGAAACAACAATGTGCTGTGTCACCTCAGGGATATTGGCTCTGTGTTCCTGGCTGAGTTTCAGAGCACCAGATGAAGAAACCAAGGCTTATTTCC